CCCGAGATGTGAAAATAAAACGTGCGTGTGCAGCAGCCACCGTCCTCGCGTCAGTGTGCGGGCGCGTGGGCGCAGACACTCACCTGTGCGGGGCTCCCCACAGCCCGAGGCCTACCCCCGCAAAATGGCGCCGGGCCCGCCGCCCGGAGGGGTTAGCCCTGTCGGATGCCTTGCTGTCCGGGGAAGAGACCTTTTTTATTCAGGAGAGCCCGTTACTGGAGCAAAGACGCAATTCGATTAACCCTGGGCTCAAGGGCAGCGTTGTTTGCGGAGCAGAAATCAGTTGAGACTAGACCAAGCAGCAAGCCCCAGGGCTGCAGCTAGATGGCGGTTCAGGATGAGAATAGAGAGGAGACTGCGCTGCGCAGAGGTATCTGAGAGGTGAGGCCAAACAGATTCATATTTATAAATTGCAACTGGTATTTATTGCACCATTATTAAAAAAAAATTTAAAAACTTACTTAAAAGGGTTGGGTTGGGTTTTTTATCCATTTTAGGCTGCGTTTGTAACTAGAACGGCTTGGGAAATTTGACAATGTAGCGGTTCAATAAAACCGAAACATTTCCTGAAAGTGGTACCCAGCTCCAGCAAAACGCTCGTCGAGAAAAGTCTGACAGAGTGGAGAAAAAAAAGAAACATCTTCCTGAGCAGCCAGTAGTCTGGTGTCCAGACACCTCCCTGGCACGAGTCTGGGTTCAACTTTGCCTTTAGCAATAAGCAGAACAGAGCAAGAACTTACTGCCCGCGTAAATGCTCTGACCATGAGGCTACTTTTGGATCTCCTGTTCAGCACTAAAAAACGCCAAAGCTAGGATTTCACCCAGATGGGAAGAGGAAAATATTTGAATTATCACAAATATTTACATGGCTGGAAACTGTAGAGCTTTAATTTTGACTGCAGGTCTCCATTTACCTGCCTTAAAAGGTGCCTTTTACTTTGCTTTCAAGGAGAACTTTTCTGCAAAGTCTCCCAAGTAACTTCTAAGCACCGATCTCAAAGTGGAGAAACCTGCTGGGATGTGGGCAAATATTAGTTCTTCTTTTTATATATAAAATTCCCGTGAAAAAATGAGTTAGGAGCCCATACTCACAAGAACACTCACTAGCTTTTGGTCGCAGATGCTTATTTTGAGGTACTTAAGATGTGTTTTCACCAATTGGCGCTTCCGTCATCGTCCATGGGATTAGAAGCCGCTCAGCACCTCAGTACACACAACCCTCTCAGAACAGTGGTGATGTGAAGAAGGATCAGCACCGCCAAAATACACGCATGACAGCCCTTCTAAGTCAAGCATTACTAGAGAAAAATAAACAGACATGAAAAAGTGCCCCCTCTGGGGTCTCGTGACTTTCAGGAAACAGTAAATATGTAAAAAGAGATCTCAGCGGTAACTTCCAGCACTTTATTGGTGTTTTAGTTCTCCTTCCTATGGAACAAGAACCGCAATATTTCCAAGAGCGCTAAGTTTCCAGATGCAATAAATCAAAACTAGCAAAAGCTGAGGTCCTCAAACACTTCCATAGCATTCCCCACAATACTTTGGGAATCTTCTCTTGCAGCACACATGAATGCAACTCTCCTCCTTTGTCATTTCTGCCCTCCTGTCTGCACCTGCCTCTGTGTGCTGCCAGTGGAGGAAGCCAGCCTTTCCATGGGAAGCACCTTTACACGCAGCTTCTTAGCAGCAACAGAGAACAGAAGCCACAAGACATTCAGAGAAAGCTGGGAGAGAGATGTGAAATATAAGTAGTTGACACATGGTGGGAAATATCACATGGTCACTCAGTTCAAACAAACAGGGCACGCTTTCTATTACTTACAATTTCTGTTTTCCCCACACATGGAACTGTTTATGATCAGCTGCTGAGGGCTTGCAGTGGTGGAAGTGTAGAGGTAGGAGCTTCTGCGGATGGTGTCAGGAAATGTGATGCATGTTTTTATCTTTGTTGGGAGGTTAACCACTGCTCTCAGAGGCAGCCTAGCACGTATCTGGTGCTGAGATCAGGGCTGAGGCAGCTTAGCATGTGCCCTTGTTAAGATTTACCTTGATTATTCCCCTGGTGCACCAGTTGCCTTGGATATTTAGCCTGCATGAGCTGACTCAAAAAGAGCTGCTGGATCCTAAGCAGAAAATTTAGGCACGTTAAGTCCACAATCATGTTCCTGAAAACTCCGGTGTAAGAGGCAACTGCCTCCTAATCCTATGGGAATCTCAACCCCATAGGACTTTACCTTAAACTCCCCTGGTGCCATCCCTCTTAGCTCCCCTGTCCATACCACCCAGCCCTGGTGATTGTGCTGTGCATGCCCAGGAAGACCTCACTCTCAGCAGGCATTGAAAGCAAAGATCCAACTGTGTTCAGACCTGAACCGTTCCTCTACTTTGTGCTCTGGAAGCTCCTGCTGGTAGCATCCTCCTGCGAAGGGTTCATCACAAGGGCAGCAAAGGTTTCTACCATCTCCTGAGGCAGAAACCTGCAGAAAGCCTTAGTGCCCATCTTAACCCAGTGGCATGGTGGCCAACAGCATGCTCCAAGGACATGGGAGACCCAATTTCTTCCTTTGAGAGGTTTCAAAGCTGCAGCCTAACCACAAGGCCATTCTGTAGCAAAGATGTTCCCACCCTTCCTGCTGCCGGTTTTCTGCCGAGCAGCCCTCAATGAATTGGCTTCACACCTCTTCTCTGGACCTGCTCCTGGGGCCGGAAGGGGGCTGCACCCGTTAACCTGACTTGGAAGAGCCCAGCAGGCAGCGGGGAGTGTACGGGTACAGGAATGTTGTATCACCCAAGTCCTTCCGTGGCTTTAGCTGTGAATAAACAAGCAGCCTTATCAGTCCTAGTGGAATTGCCAAGCCAAATGTCATCCTAAGTGACAATCAGTCAACGCCCTTGATAGTCACCATCCCTCCTGGCCAGAGGGAGAGGTGAGCTCCGAGACTGGCCAGGGCCATGGTTTCACTCCAGGACTGGAGCCAAAGGCATGGCTGCTCAGTGCCAAAAACAGAACTCCCTTCCAGCTGTGGGACCCCCCTGCTCACCTTCCGGCAGCTCTGCTGGGGTTCAACCACTGCTGCAGCAGACGTGACAGAAACAAACCTCCGCCTGTCCTCAGCCAGCCGGTGCAGAGGCCAAGGCATTACTTTTAGCCCCT